TCATTCACAATCTTATTGGTCAGAAGTCACACGACACCAGGTTATAGTCCACCAGGTTTGTTTGAAATCACCCAGCTTTCGGGGCACTGCTCCTTCGTCACCATGTGCACATTGAGGAATGTAAACATCTAAATGAGTTGGCGAGGTACGCAGGACAAGGGCAGGTGGGGTGGTGCAGTTCGCTCAGGAAGCCTGGCTCACTGTGACACCTCACTTCTATATCTGCAGGTTGCAGTGGGTCGTGATGGTAGAATCTCCGTCTGCTTTGCATCGCACAACTGAAATTCCTACCAATATCAGAGTCTGCCATTTGTGAGCTTTGGAGGAGGGGTATGGTGTCACTGGGTTACGAAGCCAGAAACCCAGGCTTCCATTGCAGATGATGAGACTTAAGTTCCCCAAAAAAAACCTAGTCTAGTGATGACCATGAAACCACTAATCAATTACCATTAAAATCCATCTGGTTCACTGATATCCTTTTGAGGGAGGGAAATCTGCCATCTTTACCTGGTCTGGCCTACACATGTCTCCAGACCCACAGCAATGTGGTTGGCTCCTAACTGCCCTCTGGACAATTTCGGAATACATCTGTCTCTGTTCCCTTAAGTCCTGCTTTGAAATAATTGATCATCTTCACTTTTTTAATACCCTCATGGGTAGTGAGTTCCATGTGCCAGTCGCTGCATCCTTTTTAACAAAAGGAAGTTCTGCTCTGCTCAAAAACCTAGTCCCCATAGCATCGGCCAGTGACAGTGTCTTTAGTCATGTCCCATATTATGTCAATGCAGGCAGGATTGAGTGTTTGAGGTGTGTGCATAATCCAAGAGGGTCCCAAACACAGACCTTGTTTTGTACCGCCTGGTGCAGAGTTAGGGAGAGTTAACAACAGATTGACCTGATGTTATATTTAGGGGTGTCTCCTCCTTCATCTGCGCCCTGACTAAATTGACTAATGATAGGTTGGAAATTAAATGTTGGCCAGCCCTGGTAAGGATGTCAGTGAATGTTTTTTTTCTTAAAAAAAAAGGAAATGTGTCCTAAAATTCTTTGGCTGCCATTTTAATTATAGCAAGCTTGCACAAACAGGAATGTGATAATGACTAGATAATCTGTGTTTCTAAGGTGTTAACTTGAGGGATAATGACCAGAAAGGCAATAACTCAGGAATAAACAATGGCTTGGGAAGAATCTTCCTGCTCCTTGTTGAAATAGTGCCATGGGATCTACTGTGTTCACTCGAGAGGTGTCCTAAGTATAGCTCCTCTGACAGTGCAACATTTGCAAGAGGTGACAGCATAATGACCATGTCACTGGAGTAGGAACCAAGAGTCCCTGGCTGATGTGTTGGGGATGTAGTTTCAAATCCCATCTTGGTAGATGCTGAAAGTTGAATTCACTAAAAATCCAGAATCCAAAGCAGGCCTAATGACAACCTGATTGTTGTAAAAATCCATCTGAATTCACTAATGCCTAGTAAGGTAGGAACACTGTCGTCCCTATTGGACTGGCCTACATGTGACTCCAGACCCATAGCAATGTGTTTGACTCTTAAGTGCCCTCCAAAATGGCCCAGAAAACCATTGAGTTCAGGGGCAATTAAGGAAGGCTAATAAATGCCAGTTGTGTCAGTGGTGCCCACATCCCATGAGCACATTTATAAACAAAACTCTCTCTCTCTCTCTCTCTCTCTTTCTTTTCTCTCTTTCTCTCCCTCTCTCTCTTCTCTCTCTGTCTATCCTTTAGTTGTACACTTTGTTGCCTGTTTCATCTACAGCCTGGAGGACATCCTATAAATCAAATGATAAAATGAGGTGGTGTGTGGGTGACTCAAGGCTGTGATTGGCAGAGTAAAGGGTCATCGATTGAAAACAGAGATGAGGAGGAATTTCTTCTCTCAGATATTGGTGAATCTGTGGAATTCATTCCTGGAGAGGGCTGTGGAGACTGGGCCGCTAAGTATATTCAAATATATAATGAGAGATATATTTCTATCAAATCTGTATTGAGATAGACTGATTTTTTAATTGGTAAGGGAATCAAGGGTTATAGGAAAAGGCAGGAAAGTGGAGTAGGGGATTATCGGATTAGCCATGATCTCTTTGAATGGTGGAGCAGGACAATGGGCCGAATGGCCTGCTTCTGCTCCTACATCATTATGGTCTTGTCTTCTGGCCATTGGAAGTATTGCCCATGCCCTAATCTTGTTTTCTTTTTTCTGGCGGGTGCGGGAACAGGAGCTGCCTCACTACTGTAGCACATGGATACCATCTGGTAGAAACACAACCATTTAAGTGACCTCTGTCGTAGGATTGCTAGATCTGTCTAGGAAAGTGATGGAAACTATTTAGGGGATCACTTCTGTCCTTATAACCTCACTAACATTTATCCTTCCATTGTCTTCAGCTGCTTGAGCCACAACCTCTGGGAAGTTTTTGTTTTTTTTTCTGGTTCAGCCATTTACAGAATATAAGGGTGGCTGGCAAAGTCAACGTTTGTGGCTGATCCCTAATTCTCTCTCGGGAATCCCTTGTCCACACCCCATTGTCGAGCTGCCCCCTGTCACCACGGGATGCTCCAAAGCTGCTGGTTCAAATCCCACTGTGGCAGCTGGTGGAATGTAAAATCATTTTGTAACTAGTCAGCAGATTGTGATGGTGCACATCATCATGTGTTGCATGAATCAGATGGGTTTAAAGGAAAAGTGGCCTACGTGTGACGCTGGCCCCACAGCAACGCAGTTGACTGTTTGAGGACCTTGTCAGTGTCCCATGAAAGAATAAAGAGGAACAAAAGCTTGAATCTTTGGTCAAACATTTGGCCATTGGTCATGATGACTCCTTATGTGGCTTGGTGTGAAGTTCCAGGCTGTTAAGTCTGCTCACCACTATGCCCTTTTCTCTCACCTATATGGTTTTGACCTCTGAACCCAGAAATCAATGCATTGAGGCACCTGTTAGCGTGTGCTGATCTTCAGGGAAGCACAGCTGTAGGGGGAACGCTGCGCGTCGTGCTGTTAAATGTAGGACTTAAATCAGGGTCCCGACCCGAAACGTCAGCTTTCCTGCTCCTCTGCTGCCTGGCCTGCTGTGTTCCTCCCAGCTCCACACTGTGTTATCTCTAACTCCAGCATCGGCAGTTCTTACTATCTCTCTCTCTTAAATCATAGTCGTAGAGGCAAAAGGCCCTTCAGCCCATCAAGTCTGCACCAGTCATAAGCAAGCGCCTAACTATTCTAATCCCATTTTTCCAGCACCTAGCCCAAAGCTTTGTATGTCTTGCCTTCGCAGGTACATGTCTAAATACTATTTCGTTGTTTGAGGGTTTCCACATCTACCACCCTCATAAGCAGAGAGTTCCAGATTCCCACCACCCTCTGAGCGAAAAATGTTTTTCCTCACATCCCATTTAAACCTGCTACTCCCCCACCCCCCACCTTCAATGTGTGCCCCATGGTCATTGGTTCCTCCACCATGGGGCAAAGTTTCTTCCTATGCACTATCCACCATAATCTCAAAATGCACTTATTTTCAAAGAAGCAAAGGGATTGGATGGGGCAGAGAATTCTAGCTAGGATTTCAGGTGCATTTAAATAGAACAGAAACAGGCCACTCAGCCCAACAAGTGTACACCAAGCTCCATAGAGCATCCCACGCATCTCTACTCTATCCCTGCATTTCCCATCGCTAATGCACCTAATCTATACATCCCTGAACATTATGGGTAATTTAGCACGGCCGATCCACCTAACGTGCACATCTTTGGACAGTGGGAGGAAACTGGAGCACCCAGAGGAAACCCACGCAGACACGGGGAGAATGTGCAAACTCCACACAGACAGTCGCCCGAGGGTGGAATTGAACCCAGGTCCCTGGTGCTGGGAGGCAGCAGTGCTAACCACTGAGCCACCGTGCCACCCCATTTGTGAAGAAACTTGGTTTTTATTTTAAAGACAAAGTATTAACCATTCCTACCACCTTTTTTTCTGAAACTGGAGGTAGACGTGACATAAACAGAAATTGCTGGAAAAGCTCAGCAGGCCTGTGGAAGAGATCAGAGTTAACATTTCGGGTCGCGTGACCCTTTCTCAGAGATGACATAACCTCTCCTACCCCTACACCGATGCACCTGCACACTGGCCCGTCAAAGACAGCTGTGTGTTTTAACTCCAGCTCTCCAGGATTATGGGGTTGTCTGTGGTCAGGTCCGATCACAATGTTCAGCCAGGAGCAATCTGTAATCTCGCCAACTGCAGTCCACCAGAGCAAGAGTTCGATCCCATCCTCGGGCGACTGTCTGTGTGGAGTTTGCACATTCTCCCCGTGTCTGCATGGGTTTCCTCTGGGTGCTCCGGTTTCCTCTGGGTGCTCCAGTTTCCTCCAACTGTCCAAAGATGTGCAGGTTAGGGTAGATTGGCCGTGCTAAATTGTCCCATAGTGCCCAGGGATGGGCAGGTTAGGGTGGATTGGCCGTGCTAAATTGTCCAGTAGTGTCAAGGAATGTGCAGGTTCGGGTGGATTGGCCGTGCTAAATTGTCCAGTAGTGTCAAGGGATGTGCAGGTTAGGGTGGATTGGCCGTGCTAAACTGCCTCTAGTGTCCAGGGATGCGTAGGTTAGGTGCGTTATCCATGGGAAATGCAGGGTTGCAGGGATAGAATAGGTTAGTGAGTGGGATGCTCTTTGGAGGGTCGGTATGGATTTGTTGGGCTGAATGGCCTGTTTGCACACTGGCGGGATGCAAAGAGGCAATCCTGCCAGCCAGTCACAATGCAAGAGAACTGCATCTTAGTTCATGAGCCAATAATTCTGTGACATCCTCAAGTTACATATATATAAGGCTCGTGGAAATTGTAGAACATTTTCCTGTGCTTATTGTTTTGCCTCGGAACATGGTGAATTTCTGATCCTTGAGCGTCAACATTGAAATATTGGCCTAGTAGACTCTTCTCACGAATATTTTTTTCCTGATTGTTTGTTTCTTTTTCACGTATGTTTTGTTTTAGCCGCTCGGCCCGGGTTTGCTGCGTCTCTCTTCCCCCACCCCCGGCCCCTCCGAGATCTGATCGCCCCCTCCCTGTGCCGCCATTGGCTGTCACCGCATCTCCCAAGCCTTCCAATGGTCTAACCGGGGCAAGATGATGTGCGAAGTGATGCCGACCATTAACGAGGACAACCGACGGGGCTCTCAGTATGGCCCGGATGACGCCAACTTTGAGCAGCTCATGGTGAACATGCTGAACGAGCGCGAGCGGCTACTGGAGAGCCTGCGCGAGGCGCAGGAGAGCTTGGCCGGTGCCCAGTTGCGCCTGCGGGAACTCGGGCATGAGAAGGAGTCGTTGCAGCGACAGCTCAGCATCGCACTGCCACAGGTACCAGAACCCCCTCCGTTTCTTGGTTTTATTTATTGTGTGTGAGGTTGTTGTCGGGCAGACCACTGCATGCCCGATGTGTTGAATTCACCTCGCATCTTGCTTAGACCTCTGTTATGAAGTGGATGCCGTCATTGGTTCCAGGGATGGATTGTGGGTGTTTTTTGCAGCTGACCCTAATGGACTCTCAGGGCTATTTCAGAGGGCAGTTAAGAGTCAACCAGGTTGCTGGGGGTCTGAAGTCATTTGTAGGCCAGAACAGGTAAGGACAGTAGATTTCCTTCCCTACAGGGCACGACTGAACCAGATGGTTCCCCCCTTTGTTATAAACCCTGTAACATAAGAAATTATATGGATACTAATCCTATGGACATTTATCACAACTATTATGTACATTGGGTTCATTTGGGCTAAATCAAGCTATTGAGTGACACAAGAGTGGCATGCTTCCAGTACGGTACCATGATTCATGTGATCTGAAGCAAGATGGAGTCTGAGACCTTTATGTCCTCGGGTCACATACCCTCTTTCCTCACTCAGCTCAATGAATTTAACACTCAGTGTGTGCTGAGCACTTCAGGAGCCTTCACCTTCAGCCCCACTTCTCTGGGCAGGAGTCTACACCCTACGTAGCAAACCCTTTCTTCTTTTCTTGTTCCAATTGCATCCCTCCCTCCCAGCCTTTTGCTCCATGCCAGATTACTCCCTTGGGAACAGCTGACATGAGGTCGGCCATCTTAGTTGTTCTCTTCACCCCCCTTTCCTACCTCCCAGTGTTAGAGCCTGCAGCTCTCCATTGGCGCAGAGACAAAGGGTGGCACTGTTGTTGAACCAATCTCTACCTTTGGGGAGTCCAAATTCCACCTGTCTTGCACGTGGCTCTGATTGATATCCCATGACAGAACATCAAACCATTGTTTTCAAGGTTGTCCACTGTTCTGCCCTCCCCCAGTGGCAAGTATGGTCCCCCAGGTGATCTGAGACAGCCTCCTCCCTAATTTCCACAAACTTGACAGCCCCATTCTTTCTCCATTGCTTTCTTCCTATTGCAACTCCTCCATTTCCGAAAAAAGCCCCGAAGAACTGTGGATGCCGGAAATAGGGGGAAAAAAAAATAGAAATTGCTGGAGAAACTCAGCAAGTCTGGCAGCATCTGTGGGGAGAAAACAAAGTTAACATTTTGGGTCCTTCTTCAGAACATCCTTCCTCCTCTATTTCCACCTTGTCCGGCCTGTTCTCTCATGTGTCTGTGTCTGTGCCAATTCCCTCTGTCACTTTACAGGCCCAATCCACTGAACTGCCTCTAATCAGAAAATCCTCCATGCCTGGGATCAACCTCTAGAACCTTCTCTGAACAGCCTGCAATGCCCTCAACTTCTTGATATTTCAAAAGTCTGACTACCTATGATTCCATCAATCCTAATTATGGGCAATAACCTCTTGTGTTTTAGTTTATCAATTTTTGTTTTAGTTTATCAATTTTTGTTTTAGTTTATCAATTTTTGTTTTAGTTTATCAATTTTTGTTTTAGTTTATCAATTTTTCTTTTAGTTTGGAAACCCAGGTACACCACATCCATTGATTTCCCCTTAGCACTTGTTAAACACCATTTTCATTTAATAAATCACTAGACATTCGCTAACGTTTTCTACATGTAAAACTGGCAAGCTCCTAATGCTGTAATAGATTCTCACACTCCCCTCCTACTGAGCTCAGCCTCTTTTTGCTCTCTATCCTTTCCTGAATAAGAGGGTCACAGTTGCTTCCTTCCCAATCCCCAGGGACCATTCTTAGACCTATCTAAGCCCGGAAGATCAGTATCAATAACCATATCTCCCATATTGTCATACAAGTTTCTTTATATAAATGACAAACAAAAGTGGACCCAGTACTGACCACTGTGGAACACCTCTGGTCACAGGCCTCCAGTCTGAAAAACAACTCCCCACCAACGCTCTCTGCCTCTTACCAGGAAGCCAATTTTGTATCCAATTGGCAAGTTCACCCTGAATCCCTTGTGACCTAACCTTGCTGATTAGTCTACCATGTGGAACCTTGTCAAGGGCTTTACTAAAGTCCATTCAGAGAAGGTTCACTAGGATGATCCCTGGTATGGAAGGATTGTTTTATAAGCCAACGTTAAATAGGTTGGGACTCTGCGCCTGATTACCTGTTGCTGGCTTTCTATGTTTTGCACAAGTACCCCAAATCCCTTTTGTGTTGCAGCCTTCTGCAGTTTTCCTCGCATTTGAATAATATTCTGCTCTTTTGTTGTCCCTTCCAAAATGAATAACTTCACATTTTCCCACATTTATGTGCGGTTTACCAACTTTTTCCCCACTTGCTTAACCTGTCAGTATCTCTCTGTACACAAAAACAAAGTTGCTGGAAAAGCTCAGCAGGTCTGGCAGCATCTGTGAAGGAAAAAACAGAGTTAACGTTTTGGGTCTGGTAACCCTTCCTCAGAACTGAAACATTAACTGTTTTTTCCTTCACAGATGCTGGCAGACCTGCTGAGCTTTTCCAGCAACTTTGTTTTTGTTCCTGATTTA